GTGAACGCAAAATTAGATCACTGAAAAAAGTGACGCAAAACTTTAAATCAATGGTGCAAATGTATTTTTTGAGGAAAAACTTTCAAAATATGTCAAAACGTAGAAAAAAATGCTTTTTCTAAAAAAAATACAAAATATAGCCATAATTTTTCAAAAATAAATGCAAGTGTTCCAATTAAGGCGCTGTTCCGATTTCGGCAACTCTCCCCTAACAAAAAAAAATATATATTTTATTGCAAAAATAAAAACTGTATACTTATTTACTTTACCAGCAATTATTTTAAGTTTATTTGTATCATTTATTAAAAAATATACATTTTTGCATTTTCACTTGGGGTCGCCCATAAATTCTCAAATTTGACACCCCCTCCCCCTGTTGCTATGCGTACTTTTAAGTCCCCACTCCCTTAAAAAGTACGTACGTTTTTCATATACTCCCCCCCCCCCATATTTTTTTTTTATTTCAATAAAAAATTAATTGAAAAAAAAAGGTGGAGGTGGTACCGTAGATACTTTAAAAGTATCTAGGGTACCTCCTCCACCTTTTTTATTTCCATAAATTTTTATATTAAAAAAAAAATAGGAAGGGGGTGAAAAACGTATAAAGTATTTTTACGACGCCAAAAACTTTACTCCTTCTTTTATGACACTTTTGTGAGTTGGAGTAGGAATAGACTGGCTTGATCGGGAAGAAGGTGCGATCGCACTCGATAACTGACCACGGAAATAGTATTTAGTTGCGAAAAACCGGCCAGATTTTTTAGTCGTTTTAAGAACATTTAAGTTTATGTATGTTTCTTTGTTTGTCCGCAAAATAATAAGTTCAATTTTAGGAAAACACTAAATCCAATCCTTCAAAGAACAATCTAAATTTTACTGATCGATGCGATCTCCAACGGAAATATAGTTGTACTTTAAAATAAAAGAAACTTAATATTTATTATTAATCATGTTATTATTAATAATATTTTTGTTTAATATCAATTTATATAATAACATTTATATCACATTGTAAATGCCGTAATTGGATCTAGAATTTTAAAAAATTATTCAAACAGCACTTTGACGGATTGGATTTAACGTTTCCCTAAATTTTAAAATGTTTTGTTTTACGGACTTACATGGAAACATTCATAAACTTGAGGAAAAATAAAAAAAGAATATTCGCGAACACAAAAAAACCGCCAAATCTACGAAAAACTAATTCTATTGGTTCAAAAAATACTAACCAAAATTTCTCGAGTATTCAAAAAATGCTAACCGAATGTCCTTAGTATTCTGTTGAAATATTTTTAAAAATTGTATTATTTGAACTTTGTTACGTTTTCGTGAGATTTCTAGCATAAATTATTTTAAGAATATACTATCAAACGAACTATTATTTTAATTCTAACATTTTTTGTTTACAATAATAAATGTTTTTTTTTTTTAAGTTGTCAACGTTTTTTAAATATATAATAGACTTTATTAGTGTATTCTTATTCTTTATATATAAGGGATGTATTTTTTATGTATGTAATGCATTTTTATGTATGTAATGTATTTTTATGTATGTATTTTTATGAATGTAATTTTATGTATGTTATTCAAATGTAATCTTTTTAAGCAATATGTGCGATTGATTTTGTAAACTTTCAATAATAACTGCGTTTTTAATGAAATTATCAATAATCAAAGTTAATACAAATAATTTTAACCACTAATCCATTTTCCTTAGTGTACCCGATAACTGATACTTTCCCCCAAGAAAGAAAAGTTTTTAAGTTCTTAGAAATTGGTTTACTAACTTCAATTATTTTTGCTTCAGCTATTCTTACAAACTCGTTATACTTAAAGTTAATTTTTTCTGTTTTAAATGCTAATTCAAATTTTAAAGCCCACTCACTAAACATCATCACCGTTATTGTGAAGCAGTTCCGCTTCCTCCTCACAAAGAAATTTAACGTTTTTAGTTAATTTCTATCTAGCTAATTGAATTTCTACAGTAACTCAATGATTTAATTATTTCATTTGTTCATCTTACTAAGAAGATATGTTTAAAATGTGTTAAATTTTTTAAACTACGCGAAGCATAAAACAGTTATTCAAAAAACTTTTTTATTTATAAATAAATCATCTAACGTTAGTTTTATTGATTAAATCTTGATGGACTTTTTAGGGCCGGGGGCTGCATTATTTCTGCGGCCTTTTTTATGTGCCACAGCGTAAAAATGACTAAAAAAAATACCGAACAGTTCTCTTGACTACTTCCCCTGACATTGTGAGTCCCGGGGCTTTAGCCCTACTACCCCCACCCCAGCTCCTTAATCCGCAACTGGAAATAAGACATAAGTATAAAAATAGAAATTAAATATAATTAAATATATAATTTGATAAATCGAAGAACATTTGTTTCTATATAGTTGTTACTTGATATAAAAAATGTCGCTTAATTTTATAAAAAAAAATTATAAAAGAACGACGTTTTAAAAATAATTCCTCTAATCGTATTTATTTTGCTTAAAGTTTTTTCGCTTTAAAAGCTATTTTTCTTTTTTTAACTGTCTCCTCTCTCATCGGTCCAGTAAATCTTATCGCGCTTTTTTGTTTGTTTTCTAAACGAGTAAAACTAAATATTATTTCTGTGGTCAATTATCGAGTGCGATCGCATCCGCTTCCCGACCAAGCCTGAATAAAGCTTATCCTTTTTGACAAAGTTTTGCAGATTTTATGTGCTTTTTTAGTATTATTCTTTGCAGAAATCACTAAATTTACAGCAAAATTTAGTTTTTGGCTTTTAGATAATGGTTTCGAACCTTCAACATTTTCAGCTTCAGAATCACTGCTAAAACACTCTTCAGTTTTTGAATGATCTCTTTCACTAGCTAATTCAATTAAATCTTGGTCTTGGCTGATGGGCGTTTATTTCTTTATCAAAACAAGTTTTTTTTTTTAATGAATACTTTAGCATCTTTAATTGTGGTACAATATCCAGCTTTTCCATTTCTTGACATTTACAGACCATAAAATTCTTTATCTTCCTGGCACAACAATTCACCTTTCTCATCAGTTATGTAAAATAATAAGCTAAAAATTTGAGTTCGGGTGACTATCTTTGTCAAGTTTTTTCAATACATTTTCTATTTTTCTTTCTGCTACTAGTTTCCCTTGTAGAATTGTAATATTCACCATTTTCAATAGTAGTTCAGTTTCAGCCACAATTGCAACTCTTTCCATTCTGCTTTTCACATTTGATGACAAACTTTTAAAACAATGATATGCTGTTCTGTTGACATCATATTCATTTCAGTAATACTTTTAACATATATGTATTATATATATATACATATATATTATGTATATATACATACATATATATATATATATATATATATATATATATATATATATATATATATATATATATATATATATATATATATATATATATATATATATATATACATATATATATATATATATATATATATATATATATATATATATATATATATATATATATATATATATATATATATGTATATATATATATATATATATATATATATATATATATATATATATATATATATATATGTGTATTTATAACATAGATTGTTTAAGTGTTCATTTTTAAAGTAAACGTTATTAAAAAAATAAAAATTGTTTTGTTTTTATAAACGATGACATTCTACGACTGTGAAAGTCTTTTTAACGAATTTAAATATAAGAATAATTAAAGTTAATACATTTCAAAAGATAAACAAAATTTTGTTTAAAAAAAAAAGTTTTAAAAAGCCGTTACAATTTAATAAGTTTGATCTTTAATGCTTTTACATTATTGAAATGCTTTTTAATGAAGTAAAAAAACAATTCTAATTAATTTAAAAAAAAAAGTATTGATAAAATGTTTTTTTTTTAATATTTATATTTATGTATTATTTTTTTATGAAAAATGTTTTACTTTTGAAACATTAAATAAATGAAAAATATATACAAATGTTGAAAACAAAGATTGAAATGGTTTTTCAATCTGTAAATTAAATAGACTAAGCATTTTAGTTTGATGAGTTTTGTTTTAGTTGCATTATATATATATATTTTTTTTTGTATTTTTGCTTTAACTAAGTATTTTTTTTATTTTCTTTTTCAGTAAGATTTTTCTTCTTTTTACAATTTTTTTTTTTAGATGAGCTTAGGTAAGTTTAGTGCATTTATAAATTTTGAAAATGTGTTAAAAGCCATGGTCAAATCAGCAAAAAATATTGTTTTTTGTGTGGTCATATAAAGACGTGAAATCGCACGCCTTCATGAGAAAGCCTGATATATGTATATATATATATATATATATATATATATATATATATATATATATATATATATATATATATATATATATATATATATATATATATATATATATATAATATGGCATCTTCTAACAGTGTGTTTACTATCTAAATGTCTACTTCAGTATTCCAATATTTTGGAATAAACTGAACCCGATAATCAGTTAGCAAACAATTTTTTGTAGTATATTAACAACTGGCAAATTATTCAATCATTTATATGAATATTTTGACTTGATTTCAGCAAAGTTTTCTACTAAAAAAATAAAGTTTCGCCCAAAACATAACAATGTTTTGAGTTAACCAAAATGACAACTGACTTTCCAAACTGGCTTCACCACGTTTTATGAGTGTCTCCTGTTTATTAAACCTCCTTGGTTTTAACATTGCATAATTTGAAGTTTATGTACGTTAGCTATTTACATAAATTTTCATTTACGTTTTCTAATGAAAAAGTGCTGTGTCAAACACGCTCAAATGGGTACTACTAACAGCACTATTAAGCTCGGCAATATTATTTAGATATAGATTAATTTATATATATATATATTCATAAATGCATGTAAAAAGTGAATTATAGAAACTAAAATAATATTTGTTATATGTTCTTTAGTATACATAAAGTTTTGATATATATAATATATATATACATAAATTTTAATATTTTTTTAGTTAATACTCAAAAATGCATGCTGCAAACATCAACAATGATGGAGTTTTCATTTGCTTTTTCAGTATCATACTGTGCAATTACTTGTGCAAAAAACAAGGGAATTGACACAGTCATTTTTAACTCTCCTTGTTTCTGTGGGCGTTATCTTGGTAGAACCTATTTGTGTCCTTTTTTTAAAGCATGTACATACTCTGATTATTGTAGAATAGGTAAGAGTTCTTAACTGTATTTTAATATATTACAGCTTATTACTTTTTTGGGGTATAATAAATGTAATGCTTTTTGCTAAGTTAATGTTTCTATAAAGTATGATCTATTTTAATAAAATCAACTTAGATTAATTTTTTTATAACTATTTGACTTTATTAAAAAAAAGCAAAATACTAATATTTTTAATATTTTGCAAAAGTTGTTATACATTATAAAAATATCTAAACTTATCTTTCATAATTTTTATTGTCATTACATTAATAATAAAATTATTAATAAAAATAAAATTATTAATAAAATTTTTTTAAATAATAAGAAAATAAATTCAGTTAATTTCTGATAACTTGAACTTCAGTGACCAAGAAAAATGGTTTGACTACCAAACATGCTTTAAAAAAAATCACAGTTTTGCTGTTTATGTCTTGCAAATTCTAAGAAGTATAATTTGAAAACTGTTTGGGAAAAAAGAAATTAAAATAGAATGTTTTGAAGCTTGGAATTTGCAGTCTTTATTTGTGGATGCAGTGCATGGAGCAGGTCTTTATTACTGCTTGCAACTTTCCAGCTGTAAAGCAAGAAAGCAAAAGATTTTTAATTTTTTCTTCAATAAATATTCTAGCACTAAAAAGTAAAAAACGTTAAAAGATTAAAAATAAATTTCCAGAATGTATTCAAGACAAAACTAAAAACAAATGTACATCAGTATGATTATGCTGATTTGCGACTTACTGAAAAAAAAATGCCACAACCGCTAGAGAAAATTGCAAGATCTTTAAACAGAAATCTTAATATCTTTTGCACTCAATACTAAGAATGCATTTTAAAAAATCATACTTATGTTACAATCTATGCATACAGCAAAGAATCAGATAATAGCAGATTTGTTTATTATATTGATTGATATTGTTTATTATTAAATCATATTTATGATTTAAAATTCTATAAAATAAACATTTTTTATAAAATAAATAAATAAATAAAGAGCCTTGAGGAACTTGAAGTTACAAGATATGAAAAAGAGTACTAAGATTGGTAAAAGAAGGTTTCAATAATCTTAAAGATGTTACCTGATACACCCTAAGAAGAAAGCTTATGGAGGAGATTAGCATGCCAAACTTTTTCAAAAACTTAAGAAATGTCAAGAACGATAGCCTTAACCTCTCCACATCTATCTAATGCACGATAAAACCTATCGGTTATTGCTGTTAGCAAATCAGCTGTAAAATGAGAAAATTGAAATCCATATTGATGATCAGAAAGTAAGTTATTAGATTCAAGATGAGAGATTAAGTGTTTTTTAATTAAAGATTCAAAAACCTTACTTATGATAGGAAGAAGACTAATGGGAAGGTGTTTAGACAAGTTAGATTGCTCTCTATAGTTTTGAAAATAGGGATAACAGATGTCACTTTCTAGCAGGCTGGAAAATCTCTCTGATAAGCACTTGTTAAAAATCGACTCTGATAAGCACTTGTTAAATAGTTTTGAAAGTATAGACGATAGCTCTGGAGAACACTTCTGCAAGACTATATCAGGTATGTTGTCCTGACCTCAAGCTTTAGAAGAGTCTAAGCAAGAAATTGCTTTAGATACAGGAGCTGGGATGATGCAAATGGCAAGCGGTGGATTAATTTGTTTGTTAGCTATATCAGGTAAACACAAGTAGTGATATCAAGAGATGATAATGATGAAAAGTTCTTAGCAAACAGTTCAGCTTTGTCCTTAGGTGAGGTGAAAAAATCTGAACCATACAAGAGAGATAAAACAACAGATTTGCTCTTATTACAGATACTGTTAAAGATTCTCCAGCAGTCAAGAGAGCCTAATTTTTGAGTTGAAATATGAGATTTCGTGACCTAAGAACAGCAAGCTTTAGCGTTAGAAAAAACTTTTTTTTTTGTTGAATTGTTTTGCTGATAGATATGAAAGTAATGGTTTCGATTGGAAATTGCAACAGCTTAATGCGAGGAAAACCATAAAGATCAGTGAGGCTTGATTTGGAATTGTCGAGAGTTAATAAAATATTCTGTGCTAGCCTGAATCCAAGAAATTATGTAAGAAGCACATTTGTCAGCAGGAAGAAGAAAGATTTCTGCCCAAGGGCCATCACAAAGAAAATCACAGAATAAGTGTCAGTCAGCATTAAGGTAGTTGTAATAGTTACGATAATAAGGGGATTCTGATGATGAAGAAGTATGGGATAATAGTTTTAGAGAGATTAAACCATGATCAGAACCACCTGATTCTGACCCTAGTCAGTGCTCAGATTCTCCATATTCACCAAGGATGGATGTACAGAATTAGGCTTTTCAGTTTTCAGAGTAACATTTATTAAAATTTTTACACAAATTTTTCGTCAAAGTATAATTTAATTAACCATTCGATAACAATTTTTAACTGTCAAACTTGAAACGTACTCTGAGTACTCACTAAAACCTTTATGTATGAATATTATTAAAATAGAAATATATTTTGTAAAAATTACTATTCTACGAATCAAATTCTACAAATCATTAATATAAAAAAACCTAGCTATTGAAAGTGCTCAGGTTAACAAGTTTTTAGGGAATCTGAATTTTAAATGAAAATTTTGACTTGTACTTTTGAATAGATTGCAAAGAGCAACTTTTAAACAAATGAGCATACTATTGACAATACTTTAAGGTGGTTCATCACCAGAAAGTTTTTTTTTTGATAAAAATAACTTAATTGATTTTATTTGAAAAAAATAATAAAAAATTAAAAAATTTTAAATATTTGTTTATTTTTTTATACATGATCAACAATAAAAAGTAAACTTTGATAAAAAATCCTCAAAAAACCTGAATGTGGAGAATCTGAGCACTGACTAGGATCAGAAACAAGATATAAGTTGAGTAGAGAAGGTTAATGATTGGGATTGTCTGGAAAGTTAGTTGGAAAGTTGACTATTTGAGTTAGGGATTGAGAAAGGCAAAAGTTGTGTGCTGAAATGCTTGCAGAGTTGCTGACACTAAAGCCAAGCCATTCAGTGTGATAAGCATTAAAGTCACCAACAACAACAATATTGGTTGAAAGTTAAAGAAATAAGATTTGGTTAATTTGATCAGAAATAATATTTAAAAGTGTGTACTCTAGTCATTTTTAAAATGGTTAAAGAACTTGACTCAAAGCATAGATAGTACTCAGTATACTATTTAATAGCCCAAGCAATTGCCTCATTATTAATAATAAACCCTAAGCTGTAACATTGGACTCCAAATGTGGTTTGGGCAATGCACACCAAAAGTACACACATACATGCGCAACATGGCAAAATATCAGAGTACTGTTAGTACTCTGATATTTTATAGCTGTTGATGGAATCAGCCTCCCTGAGAGCTACCACAGAGTTTAGTAAACCTGGCTTTCAGCCCGCCTCAGAATTATAAAACTCCTCAGAATTAGAGTTTTGGAGCTGTACCCTCATTAGGTGATAATAGAACAAAGCCTATCCAGTCAAGCATAATTTCATGTATCTCGTAATTTTATCGCAAAGCACTCTATGATGTCGTGCCGGACAACAAAATTTTATAATAATAAGTAGCGAATAGTTCTTCTTGTATGTACCTAAAAAATTTTGGTTTTAGTTATATTAATGCCATCATTTTTTGCTGCTAAAAACTGTGGAAATAAGAGTGGAAAAAACTGTAAATTTCGTTTTCCTAAAGACAAAAAAAGGCAAGCTAGTTCATATATTATTTATAATAACTTTTTCATAAAAAGTTTATTAAATTAATATAGTAGAATTTTAAAACATATTCTTTTATTGTTTAATTTTTAGATGTAAACAGTGGGTCATCAACTATTGTATTTTTAATCAAAAATCTTTATATGTGCAGTAATCATTTTGAAAATACAATTTATTATTCTACAAATAATGGTGGCAAACGTTTGTTAAAATCAGCAATTCCTACTATTTTTAACATCCTAAATCCTCCTCCATTTATTGGTTGCAAAAGGAAACCACCAGTTGAAGGCCATTCAGTTCCAGCGAAAAAGCAAGTTGTTTGTTTACCTGTTAATTCCAGGGTTGGCAAAAAAACCCAACTCAAAAAAACCCAAAAAAAACCCAATAAAACCCAAAATATATTTAGGTTTTTTTAAAAATGTTCTATTTTATAACTGATAACTCTGATTTTAACACTTATAAATGCTTTATTAGCAGTAAGTGCAACTTTTATACTGTAATTACTCTTGTAAACACTGTATTTATATACAAAACGGTATTTAGAATATATCCAAAACCGATCAATCTGTTTTTGTAGCAAATTTATTATTTTTTTAAAACTTATAGCAAGTTATTATAAATGTTATTGAAATATGCAGGGGTGTGGAGTCGTTAAAAGAATTAATGACTCCGACTCCAGTTGTTAAAATTTTTTGAGTGCAACTCCGACTCCAACTCCAAAGCAAAACTTTTGAAAAATTCTTTGATTTCTTTAAAAAATTATTGCGCGATAAGTTAAAATTTTTTTTTTGACAAATTTATGTAACGTTCTTTGAGGTTTAGTATGAACATAAGGTTAATTGAATGTTTTGTACATACACGTGCAATACCAAGAAATATTACGATCTGAGTCGGAATCACGATATTTTTTAGCAACTCCGACTCTGCTAAAATTGTCGCAACTCTAACTCCGACTCCGACTCCACAACCCTGGAAATATGTATTAAAACATTAAATTAGTTAAATACTTATAAAGGAAATAAAAATCATTTTATTAACTAAATTTCATGACATTACTAGTTATTTAGTATCTTTATTCTCCTCTCGAATGTCTATATTTCCTATCAAGCGTTTTATATATGTCATTTTATATTGGTATTTGATCTTTTATTTTTTAAAGCTTATGTTGTAAACTGCAAATTTCAGTACAAAGCCACAATCAACATACTATATATAAAAATTATTCACAGTTTAGAAATGGAAAGTTGTCACGCAAAAAAAAAATGCTACAGTTTACTAGACTTGTCCTTA